TGCAGCGCTGAAAGCCAGACGCCTGGGTTTGGGGTTTAGGGTTTAGGGTTTAGGGGGTCCCTGGCAAGGGGCTATTTAGGGAATTATGTTAAATTCATAGAGGGCTACAACGACATTACACCAAATAGAGTTGCACAAGGATCTCTTCGAATGATGGAGACAAAGCAAATGGAACATGACATGGAAACGGGGGTTCGACATGGGGTTTACATACGGAATATAACCCTAATATAACCCCTATTATAATAAAGTAGTTTCCATTTTCTTTTCCATTATCCATATATAACGCAATATTATCGGTCTTAAGCCGGGGCTTGGGTTTGGGGTCTTTGGGTTTAGAGGTTAAGAGCTGCAGGTCTTTGATTGCATCTGCCATTCCGGTAAAGAGTTCACAGGCCAAGTACATATAGGCCTTATGACTTTGTGGTTTTGGGCGAGTGGCTTCTGGATTTCAGGCTTCTAGGGGTTTTCTCTGCGGGGGGGTGGGGTGGGTGGTGCTGAAGTTCAGGATGTTGAGCTATGGGACCACACTCTTGGCCGCTGTTGGGAATCCTTTCAGAGCCTTTTGGTCGTTACTCTAACGTAGGTGGGTTCGTGATCTCCTTTGTACGTGCCCACGTACCCTCATCTGGGGCCATACGTCCTTCGCCCCGACTTTCTCCATCTCGGCATGTGAGGCGTGTGAGGAGCAGGATTTGCTAAGGTGAATGATTTGCACTCAAAAGCGTAGACAACCCAACACAACCCCTTTAACGGCGATTTTTCAAGCCCCCTGTAGTAGCCTCAGGGTCCGCTAGAGCCACAATTCAACCGCACTAGACCCATGGGTCATATAATCCTTATATGACCCTATATATATATATATACATATTTATTTGTTTTTATTTATGTTCCATCTTCTTTTCGATGTGATTCTCCATTATTGGGGTATACATGTCATCCCATAAATAACCCCCTTTAAGGAGTTTAGACTGCAGCCATAAACCCTAAACCTTAAACCCTAAACCCTACACCTTAAGCCCTAAACCCTAAACCCCAGACCCTAAACCTTAAGCCCTAAACCCGAAACCCTAAGCCCTCTTACATGGCTGTATACATCCCTGTACACTCTCAAAGCTGCATCTGTTTAAGGAACCGAGTCCCGGACCAGGACCCAGGCTCGCAATCGCCTGCATATTGGGGTTATATTAGGGTAATGGAAAATAAGATGGAAATTGTTATATTACAAGGTTTAGGGGTTTAGGGTTCAGGTCTAGAGTTTAGGGTTTAGGGGGTTTAGGGGATTTAGGATTTAGGGTGTAAGGTGCATTACGCAGAAAGGGTGTACTGTTTAAGGGGGATTTGGGGCTGTATAGGGTTCAGGACGGAAAGTTGATGGTCAGGAAGGAAAGTTGATGGCCGGGGAGGCGGGGGGGGAGGGGGCTAAACCCTAAACCCTAAGCCCTAAACCTCCCTTGCAGCCCCTAGTAGGTGTAGGCATTTCAGGTGCCCCATTTCAAGATTATGTGAGCTAAAGTCTAAAGGTTTAGGGTTTAGGGGTTTAGGGTTCAGGGTTTAGGGCTTAAACTCCTAGCATCCCCCTAAGCAACCCCAATACTACTTCCCTGTATAATCCCCTTTTTAACCCCCTTTCAAGAATTTAGACTATGGCTCATGTGGAGATTTGTTTTGAGAACCATACACATGACTGGAAGGAGCGAGACTAAGGATGACGGAAGCTACAGCTGCGGCCAAAAGGGTGATCATATGAGCTATAGTCTAAACGCCTAGTATCCTCCTTAATGACCCCTATAGTAGTCCCCTATATACTTCCACATATACCGCTTAAGGAGTTTAGACCATGGAATATATTGGGTTTAGGGCTTAGGGTAATATTGGCATTTCCCAGCAAGGGCGGGCCCCTATATAGGATGCCCCGAAAGAGGACAGACCCGGAAAAGGCCCACGCCGTCCTAGGACTGCAGCAGTGCCCGCAAAGCTGTTTTTAAAGGTCATTTTTAAGTAGGAAGTGGGCACCATAAAATGGGGGTCCCATTTTAGGCTCTCATAGACGATAGAAGCAAAAAGCCCCTGAACTTTGGTAACTGGAAAGCGTGACCAAAAAAGCCACCCCAAACCTTGAATATTAAACCCCACCAACCACTCTGCTGCTGGTCTGCGACCGCCGATTTCGTCTTTGTTGACAGCGACCCTCATGCCCATGTAAGACTCTATCTGCCCTGGAACGCTGCCAAAAACAAAGTTCAGCTGCTCACACGGAGGTTTATGCTTGGCTACAATCAAGACAGCTTCAGGACAACCGGATAACTTGTTGTTGAAAAACATACATAACTTCAAGACTGCTTTCTACTGTACGTATCCCCATACAAGGGATGCATGCTTTTGGGCACCGTACCTTTTGCTAGCCGGCATGGCAACTGCCATGGCTCTCACGCCTACCCTTCAAGCGTGAATGGTCGAGTGAAGCGTACTTCAAAGGCCCGAGCCATTGATGAGTAGATCCCCGGATAAAAGAAGAGCCCTAGACCCTACACCGTGTGAAGAAGGTGTGCTAATCACTATCCTGAATTCCAACCTATCTATGCTTTCAGGTTTGAAGGTTCAAAGCCAAAGCTGAGAGGCGAATTCGCCTCGAGTTTTGAGATCCAGTCTGGGCTTGGAGCATGAAGCTCGAAGTTCTTTCAGGTTATCACTGCAATCACAATAGCGCAAATGTTGATGTCAATAGGCTATCACTGCCGTTACTGTGTACAAATCCTGCATCCCAACGTTGATGACGAAGACCCCGCACAGCTTCGAGCGGAAAAGCTTAGGATTCAGACAAGTTTGAGCAGCTTCAATGAGGTTGTCATGGATGAGAACTCTTTCAGGCCAGCTCACACCGGGCTTGATGCTTTGGGCTTTGGAATTCGGACTTGTGATTCCTGCGCAATGTATGTAACTTGCCCGCTTTGGATGCTGAGAATGCAGAGGGAACTGCCTTGAGTTGGTTGACTTAGGAGAGGCTTTGCGTAAGCTTGGCTGAGGAGCTACAGAGAGAATGGTACGACACATGGCCTCATCGGAGGGATAACCGGGATCATGTTGGGGGAGAGCAAGCTTATCTAGGCTTATGCCATGACTGGGCGCTCTGCCAAAGCTGTGCAACATTCTCTGCTCTTCCTCACGGCCTTTGTTGCTTCAGCTCGCAGGATAGGGCGCCTGCACACCATTGTCGGCAGCTGGGTAGACACTCTACCAAAGGGCATCTAGCTCTGCCATAATGTTCTTCAGCTTCTTCTCTGCCATCGCTTTGGTCTTTTTGTCTTTCAACCAGCCTCGAAAGCCGGCATTTTTCTTGACCTGATCTGCATACTTCAAGCCATCTTTCCACAGCTCCAGCATGCGCATGAAGTGACCCAGGTCCTGCTGCTGCGGACAACGCATCAGTGAATCAGCTTGGAAAAGCAACAGATTCAACACTCGGGTTTTTGATCGTTGCGGTTTATGCTACTTTCGCTCTTATCGATGCCTGGCAGCAACCGTTGTCTTGACCGCATGCACCGCAAATGGTAGCGGCAGCGACCAACAGCAGCAGGACCGCCGGCGCCACCAGCACCAAAACCAGCACCAACAACAATGACAGCAACAAAAGCAGCAACAGCCGTAGCCCCGCCGCACTAACAGCGGCGGCTAGTTGTGTCTCCCAAAACAGCAAGACGGAGGCGGCCAGCGGCAGCAGCAGCAGCAGCAGGAGCCAACTGCCATAACGTTGCTCAAAGCGTTTCTTGAAAGATGAGCAGTACGCAAGTCCCCCGGCGGTCCAGACATGGACCCGTGCAAATGCAAAGTATGTGACATCATGAAAAGGTTATGCGGTAGCCTCTGCACAGGGGACAATTCTTCATAAGCTATTGAGAGCCCCAAGCCGCCTAAACCCCATACCCTGCTACATACTCCTGCATGCCCTACATAACCCCCATATCACTTCCCTTGCAATGCCTGCCGCGGTCTGGAAAGGAGTTCAAAGGAAATAGAAGCTACTTGCATGGAACGGAACATGAAAACTACTACGTTACCGGGGCTTAAGGGGGCCACGAGAGGCATCCATTCCTGCATCCCCTACTAAACCAGCTGTGTTTCTCTGGGCAACGTCCCCAATTTACTCTACACAATTCCCTGTTGAAGACTGCATAACTTGATGCGCGACCCCTTTAAGCCTTTGCGGCAACCATCTGAAAGCCCTTGAAGAGTGAAGAAGTTGTACAAACCCTAAGCCCCGTATATAATATACCTGAAACCGTTTCTGTTTATGTTTGTTCATTTTCCTTCCATCTTCCAGTCTCTACGCACATGTCCTCGCTGCAGCGTGCTGGATCTTCTTTCTGACGCTTCATCTGGCCAGGGCACTCGGGAGCGAACGCCCAGTATGTCTCGGAATGGAAATGCCACGTGGTCAGGAAGTTTTCAATCCTGGTCTCAATCTCAGAAAGGGGGACATGCTCGTAGATCTTCATGAACGTCACGTCCATACGGGGGCACGTCTTCAAATGCAGCGCATGCTTGCAATGCTTGATCAAGCGAGCGGAGTGATAGTTGTCGGGTCCCGCGGAGTAGGCGCCAGTGTAGGCTGCGGCTTCTAGGGCTTTCTCTGCCTCTGCTCGGAACTTGGCGCTCCCGACCCCCAGATCCGGGTATGAGGAGACGCAGCAGAGAGTTCCACGGCCACTTTCTTCCGCTTCGCGAATGGCCAGCACAGCCGGGAGCAGTGCTGCAAGGGGGCGCAGGCCCATGTGCATCTGGTTTTGAAACACAACAAAAACTCAATCACCGATTGTCCCTTCGGGCCATGCGCAGATAAAAGCTCGCATCGGGCTCATGCGATTTGGTCTACAACAAGGTTACCGTTGAGGCTTTCCTGAAGTTCCCCTGCCCTTCAGAAACAGCTTTGTAAATTCTAAAGTAGTGGAAGGCAAAGCTTCCGCTATATCATGGACCGGATCTTAGTAAACGGATAATAGAAAAGAGAATGGAAACTACCACATTAGAATAGGGTATATATTGGGGTTATAATAAGGAATAACGGAATCAATGGAGGCCAAAATTCAGGATCAATCCGAGACATTCAGGTCTACTGGTTTTTGCCATGGCTTTAGGGTCTAGGCCATCTTGAGGTACATGTCTGCTAACTATTAGCACCTCCAGGAGCTTGAAGAACCCTACGTAAAACCTAAACCCTTAATAGTTGCTTCCATTTTCTTTTCCATTATAGTATATCCTGATATTCCCAGGTGTAATCTTAAACCCTAAACCCCAAACCCTAAAAGTTAAATATTCCTTTGTCTAGGGTTCCGAAGGACCTGGCTTGGGGGGGACCCTACTAACCCACGAACATGGCTGCTCACATGCAGGTTACAAGGTGTAGGGTTTACAAGAACCAACAAGCGGTTGAAGCATACTACTCCCTAATTACGGAGCACCAAATTGGAAAGAACAAAGAACGTTTAATGGGAACTAAATCTAATTTGGGATTTGGGGTTTAGGTCTTGGGGCTAAAACAATGAAGAACCCTGTAGAGAAGAAATACAACATGACATGGAAACTGGGCTGTATGTGGCGGCGTAGTCAGATGTCTCGCGACTCTCTGTTCTAAATTTGTCACTAAAGCGACAAACTTACTGGGGGTCAGTATGGAATATTGGAATATACGAAAATGTGAAGGGATCATATTCCCTCATTCCCGACTAACCTCCAGCAAGCAAATCCATTTAAGCGTTGTACTACAGGGGCCTAAATAATTACCAATATCAGTTTGAGGTCCATTTGAGGTACCATACACTATAATTATACAATGAACATGAAACCATAATACTGACAATCATCCCTATAAATCGCAATATAACACCAATTTCCATGTCATTTTCCATGTTCTTTTCCATTTGATTCTCCATTCTTGGGGTATATACATTAGTAATTATTAAGGCCCCTACAAGACCTGTTTTTTTTTTTGCAGTTCTTCACCCTGTCACAGCAGAAGGTTGCATCTCAGAGTCCTAAAGCTTCTGCTTACAACCTGAACTCAAGGGAAAAATGTTAAAATAACATGGAAACTACTATAGTATGTTGCGGCTATATAGGAATAATGGAAAAGAAAATGGAAACTGCTATAATTGCTCATATGGCTCTGTGCCCCAAAACCCTTAGCCTCCAAAAAAGGTCCGGTGCACTAAACCCTAAGTAACACCAAAAGCGGTGCAGATTTTGGCGCCCCCCCCACATTTGGGATGTCTGTCGGCGCGGTGCGCTCGCGAGCGGAGCAGACCACACGGAGAGGGGTTCTCAATCTCGGCTTCAGTCAGGTCTTCTGCTTTGTAGCTAGGTAGTTACATTGCGACACACTTGGAATGTCTATAAGAACAGCTATGTGGCAACTATTGCAAACTGTAAGACTCTCGGGCATGATGTGATTATAGCTTGGGCTGTTCCCCACCTCAGTTTGTAGGGTCTCCTTTTGAAAGAATCAAACTTTTGGGAGTCCCCACTAGAAGGCATTTAGTCGTTAATGCATGTCAGCGGTGATACGTTACATGATATCTCAAGATGTATAAGGCTTACTCATCAAGTTTGGGGGCTTGTTTCCTAAGCTTTAGCTGCTCTCCACATGGCATGCTTCCTCACTGAATATGTAGGGGTGTAGGGGCTTCAATAGGGTTTTGCGGGGTGTATATCATACTGGCATACTATAATACTATACCCATACCAGGATTACAAGCGACAGCGTGTGTAATCATGTCATTCAGGCTTCTGCCTTAGGGTTTAAGATCTAGGAGGGGTTGAGGTTTTCCATCCCCCGCAACGCGTCTTTAGCTGATCCCCCCTCGTGCCAGCGGCCTGAGGGGTAGGAGGACGCACTCGAAAGGAGTGTTGTCATAGGAATGGAAGTTCGGCAGGGGCCTAAATCAATTAGAATGTGGTTTGGCGATTACAGGACGACATCGATTTTTTGTACGTATTCAGGCGCCCACATTAAACCCTAACCTCCTTTTCTGGCTTCCACTTCCTGTCTTGTTAGGCTTCTCAAGCTCAGATGAGCTACAGCCATTATTTGCCATTTTGTTCATGGATACACGGACATGGGTTCCAATGAGAGAAGATATTAGGGACCATACTAAACTGCCAAAGGAGTAACCTTGACTCTGCAGGTGTTTGCTTCTCTTGCGTGCGACCTCCATTGCATCAATTTAAATGGCGGCCTCCATGTTTTGAGGCTCTTCAGCCATTTAATGGGCTAACCTCCTTGAGAAGTCAATCCTGATCACATCCCAATGCGAGCTGTTTTGAGGAGCCAATAGGAACCTGAACCTTACAATAGCCCTCACGCATAGGAACTTTCAAATATGAATTCCTTGCACCACCTTTGACGTGCAGAGCATGGACAACCTAAATGCACGTGAATTTCTCCAAAGAATCCGTGCATAAACCTCAAAGGGGACCAGTATGCCCATACCAAAGGCCAGTCTATTCTGCAAAAAAAATTAAGTTTGTATCCTTAACGTTTGTAACTCTGGGTTTTGGGTCCCAAGTACCCTGATCAAGCAAGGCTATATTCAGGGGCTAACGGATCCACACTCGAAGGTACAGACGTTAAGTCTACAAAGGAATGCCTTCTGAACCTGAGAAACTGGACATGACGAAGGCAACTCCAGAACGGAACAACCATGGAACATAGCTCACGTCAGACTGGCATTCCGATTTAAGGAACTAGTGGTCCAGATTAATTTTTCTTGACTTTGAGCACTCAAGATACCCTATCTGCAGGATTCGGACCTTCCGGCTTGGGGCGCCATCTTTGGTACGTAGGGGATCGAAACCTTGGGACATTAGTGACCCGGCTCCCACTACGTCTGCATAAGCCTTCTGATTACAGCTACGGTTGCAAAAGGATTTCATAATGAGGGCCTTCAAAAAATCAGGTTGGGCGCCAACTACGGAGCCGTTCTTCAAAGCCCCCGCCTTTGGCCGCTCCCCTACTGAAGGTGTTTTAACCTGAAGATTATCTGCAGATTCTTCTCGCTATCCATGAATGGGTCTATGGTGTCGGGTCGATACCAAAACTAACCAACGAACAAACGAAGAACTTCTAAACATTGCGATGGACGACACGCCTGCCGTTGTGATCCAGGGGTCTAGGCGCATAGACAAGTGGTTCCAAATGGAAATACTACTGACATGTGCAGCGTCCCGTTCCTCATTGGGCTTCAACATAATGAGCAAACCTATTCAGTCTTGACCCACACAGGAGTTTAGGCTAAGGCTAAGGCTCAATCTGTCGTGGTAACTTCCGCGACAGCCACTCAGCAGGGACCTAGAAACCGTGCAGAAAGCCGCTGGTAGCGAAGCGCTCGGTGTATATGGGGCTACATAAGGGTTATAAAGGGGTTATATAGGCATAGGGGCTATATGAAGGAATATAGTGGCTGTATAGGGCTTTAAAGATATGCTACCCCGAATGATGGAGAATCAAGCGGAAAAATGGAAAACAAAATGGAAGCTGGGTTTATACTGGGGTTATGTAAAGGAATATGGGGACCTAAAACCCCACCTGCGATGAGGTACCTGCTGCTGCTGATGATGATGATGATGGTTCATCAAACCCTAAACCCTTAAACCCTAAAGCCCTAAACCCTAGTTCCTCATGCTCACTTCCAGTTGATCCATACCCTAACTCAAAGGAGGAGCGCATCAATGACCTCCTAAGTCAGATATTGATAATGATGATTCTGAGTAGGGTTCCTACTTTTCTGCTAGTAGTATAGGTATACCCCCAGTAGATCCTATAGAGTGTAAGGACCCCGTTCCTAACCGGATGTTTTACCTTAGGCTGGATTCCATCTCAGAATGAAACACCCGGATTTACCATGAGTGGCTGGAAGCACATCAATGCATGATCCCTTTATTAGCCACCCTGAACGTACTTGCTGTATCCTCCAGGAATATGGTTCACATATATACCTGAAATCCTAAATCCAGTATGGCAGTCTCAACGACACACTGCACAGTCTATTGTAGGGACAGCGATAATCCCCTGATAATCCGAAATCCCTTAGAGGCCCCATTTGGAGAAAAACTCATCTATCTCGAATCCGAATAAACCACTAGATATTTATATAATCCCTGTATCCAGTTCATCCTGGACTCACCTTTGGAAAAACAAAAAGCATTCTCTTTCTATTCCCTAAACCCTGGGCCCCCAAAAAATTCAGTAGTTTGCATCTTCTTTTTCCTTCCCCTATAAATATCTCTACATCTATTTCTATGTGCACATATTCCCCAAATCTTATACGTTGAAACATACACCCCTAAACCCTAAACCCGTAAACCCAGCTGTTGCAACTAGACCCTAAACCCTAAACCCTAAACCCTGACTTTCTGTGCGAGCTTAGGTGGGCAGCGGCCCACGCCGCTGGCCGCCCAAGCCCCAATCTCGCGCCACTGAGCGGTTTAGGGTTAGCGGTTTAGGTTTTAGGGTTTAGGGTTTAGGGTCAGGGGGACTGAGTAACTAGGTTAAGAATGTAGGGTTTAGGGTCAGGGGGACTGAGTAACTAGGTTAATAATGGAAAAGAAAATGGAAACTACTATATATTATCTAGGGTTTAGGGTTTAGGGTTTAGGGTCAGGGGGACTGAGTAACTAGGTTAATAATGGAAAAGAAAATGGAAACTACTGTATATTATTTAGGGTTTAGGGTTTAGGGTCAGGGGGACTGAGTAACTAGGTTAATAATGGAAAAGAAAATGGAAACTACTGTACATTATTTAGGGTTTAGGGTTTAGGGTTTAGGGTCAGGGGGACTGAGTAACTAGGTTAACAATGGGGATAGTTGGGGTTACGATATGGGTTATAGGGGTTATTAGCCTACTTACCAAGTCCCCCTGACCCTCCAAGGACTCTTTATCGTTAAGCCGGAGCTACCCTCAATAAGGGTTTAGGGTCCTTGTACAAGGGGGTGTACGGCAAGCTATGGAGGTTCTCTAAGGTTTAGCGCATGGAACCCCCTGATAATGGAGAATCACACGGAAAATGAAATTGAGACTGGGAGAAGTAGTGGTTTGTAAGGGTTGTGGACAGCATTGATCTGTAACCCCAATTGCCTACAGTTTAAATTCAACTGTGATGAACCCACAACCGGCAAGTATAACCCACAAGGCTCCATAGATACCTGGGGTGACAGGTAGAGCTTGGAGTCCAGGCACCAGGTTCACGGCATAGAAGTTGTGGCTTCAGTGCCGCGATTTAAACTGGTATGTGGTTGTTCTCGGAAGTTGGCCTCCTTTTGGTTATAGACTATGTTACGGCACCTAATATTTGCGGGTACCAAAATGGGACCCAAATTTGGGAGCTACCCATGTGGCTGTTGGCGGCTGATGCTTCAGGCTAAGATCTACTGCGTGTGCAACGGGTTGTTTTCTATAGGCCTTCTCGAGACGACGTAGAAGCATGCCATGCAAGTACGGGGTTTCCTTCTTTCATTGTCTGAATTTAAGCTGCCCAACAGCAACCCAGTGAAGCAAGTACGCATTGTGACGCGCAGTCATACTGAAGGGTGAACTGACTGGACAGCTGCAGGTTGCACACGTCTCCCTGAAGAATGTCTGACACAAACGTTTGTCTAACACTGGGCACTGCCCAGTTGCTATTTGGTAGTTTCCCAAAATTAGGGGGTACCTTTTTAGGGGTCCCAATAATAAGGATTATAGTTTTTGGGGTCTATATTGGGGTCCCCTTATTTTGGGAAACTACCATTTCTTTGGGATCTACATCCTCTGCAGGCGACCATAAGGGCACGGCTGACTACAGCTGACACTATCACAAAGACCCCTGCGGGCGTAGGACGCATGAGTCCTTCAATCCGATTGTAATCCCGCATGGAGCTTTTCATAACGTCCCAAAATTTGCTCCACACTACACCTCCAGGGGTCCAATGAACTATGTACAGGTACCGCAGCGGGCCACTGCACACGTACCCTTTACACAGCCTTGAGGTATTGGGTTGCAGCAAGAAACTATAAAGGTGACACCTGCTAAGTAGGTTATATAGAGGGTTATATAGGGGTTATGTAAGGATAATGGAAAAGACAATAGAAACTACTACTTAGGGTTTAGGATTTAGGGTTTAGGGTTTAGGGGTTTCAGGGTTTTTAAAGGAACCTAGGGATTATAGGGATTATATAGGGGTTATATAGGGATTGTAGGGCATTGATTGGGGTTTATATGGGGATAATGGAAAAGAAAATGGAAACTGCAATTTAGGGTTTAGGGTTTAGGGTTATAGTCCCCCTTAAGTAGATAGAATATGGGGTATATGGGAATCTTAGTATAATAGACCCAAAGCCATATTCTATCTACTTAAGGGGGACTATAATAGAACCACCACTCACATGGAGAGGTGGCTCAAGCCACTTAAAAAAAAAGCTAAAATAAAGCTAAAATGAAGCTAAAATAAAGCTAAAATGAAGCTAAAATAAAGCTAAAATGAAGCTAAAATAAAGCTAAAATGAAGCTAACATAAAGCTAGTTTTTGGGCTCAGCTTTTTTAAAGCTTTGTTTTAGCTTTTTGCTAGCTTTTGTTTAGCTTTGTTTTAGCTTTTTTTTAGCTTTCTTTTAGCTTTTTTTTAGCTTTCTTTTAGCTTTTTTAGCTTTTTCCTAGGGAAATTTGGAAAAAAAGCTGGAAAGAAGCTACCTTGGGGGTGAGTGTCTGGGCCCTTAAATTTTCCGAAAATTTAGAGCATATGGAGCTATTCGCGAGTTTGCTACTACGGAAAGCACATTCATCCCAGAATGAAAGCTCAGCTTTGCCTTAGCTTTTGTTTAGCTTTTCTTCAGGTTTTGGGAATTGGGGGTTTAGCTTTCGTTTAGCTTTTATTCAGCTTTTTTTAAAACTACTGCTCATGTCCTGTCCATTCAATGGAGGTTCTAAAGCTAAGTTACCATAACGGAGAATCAACTGGAACATGAAATGGAACCTTGAATGGTGTGGGGTACTATCGGGATTTGGGGAACCTGGTTTGGGATTTTGTCATGGTATGCGGGTGATCCAGCCGCGGCCACCCTTACCGGTTTAGGGTTTAGGATTTAGGGTTTAGGGTTTAGGGTTACCTTTGCAAATGCATCTGCTGCCTCACATACAGTAAAATGCCGATCTCACATAACCCAGCTCCTTTGAACCAAGTTACCCTAACCAAGAATACCGCCTCACTCCACCACCATGACATAGTAGAGATCTGAATAGATTGGTTCATCGGTGAATAGAGAGAACAGAATGCTGATGGTATCAAGGCCATACAGGTTTGGTGTTGCCAGAAATGCGTGCTTCAGCGTGGGAATGGACGGAATCAAGACAATGACACCTGCACGGCCTCCCACCCCGCGCCGTAAAAAACACACGACCCTACTAGGGGTGCATTGCCGCTTATGCCAGGTTGTAAGGACGTAACTTTATGGTCCATGGCTATACGTCCTACAAGCAATGCCCCCCAACATACAAGCATAAGCCCGGGCCACCTACATACATTGAAGCGTGGGCTCGTTTTCTTTTGAACCTTTGAACCCTAACCTCCACAGGAGGCGCTAAAAATCACACCCAATACCCCTGCGAAGTGCACCGCTGGGTGCAGTCAGCGAAACCAGGCCAGATCACGCCTGAGATTAGAAGGTTAAGAGCGCCGGGATTGCGTTGAAAAACCTACGACTTGGGCCTTGTGGACTCAACATGCTCACGGTTCAGGGAAATTTTTCTTTTTGTCAGGAGGTCAGGTATTGGAGCAGTTGGGGGTTTAGGGCGATACAGTAGACAACCAAAAAAAGGAATGATGCAATTTAGTAAGTATCTGTTCAAGCATCCCTTTAAACTAGGGCGCTCTTCTGCCCCATCTACCTCCAAAGAAAAGTGTCTTCATCGCAAGGCGGAGGGTCCTATGATTCTGTGAAACCTGTGAAACCTGAACTTTGAAAGCTGAGTTTACCTACTGGTGTAAGGCACAGAGACGGCGCCCAAACCCTGTGACCCCTAAAGCCTCTAAATGATACCCACAGAAGAGGTTATGGAAGCATGCCGGCGCCCTGACGATCTCTAATTTAAACCCTAAAGCATGCAGTACTTCCAGAAGTTTTAGGAAACCCAAATGGACCCCAAATGCTTAACTCCGAACTCGACGACCCAAATGCTCAACCCCAACCTTTGAACGCCAAGCCCTACATCCAACATCCTAAATCCCAAATCATGAATCCTTAGCCCAAACTTCCTGAAACCTAAGCCCTAAACCCTAAACCCTAAACCCTAAGCCCTAAAGGCTAAATCCTCAACTCTAAGCCCAAGCCCTGGACGGAAGCTCTGACATATTCCTTAGGAGGACCCCTCGCTCTGTAAGAGCAGTATAATAGTCACTATTGCAGGATGGGGTCCACCTAATGTATTCCCTCACAGGTCCCCATATCCTGCCCTAAACTCTAAACCCTGCATGTACCCCCCAAGTCAACTTTAGTCCGTAGGTCATCTGAGGCCAGAAGCCTGAACACTGCCCAGGCGAGCCCTATAGAGCCGAGGCCTTGCAAGCTATGTCGGGTATAGGGCTTAGGATTTAGGGTATAGGGTTTAGGGTATAGGCGGGTTTAGGGTATAGGGTTTAGGGTCTAGGGCGTAGGGATTGGGAGTGTCTCAGAAAAAGGGTACGTGGTACTTTGGTGTTCACGGGTTTCAGGGTTTTAGGGCTTCATGGTATACATGGTACTTGGGGCTCATAGGGTCTTAGGATGTCTTAGGGTTTCTCGGTTTTAGGGGTAGTTTCCAAAAGAAGGGAAAGTCACTTCGTTGCTGAAAGCTTAAAATGATATCTGACATGTATCCCCATGATCGCCCACAAGCCTCCAGTCCTGACTGATAACACATTAACCGAGAGCTGGCGCACCGTGCTTTGAGTCATTCCGTTGCGATTGCAGAAGCCCACGAGACTGCCGCCTATGACAGCTGAAGAATTCTGGGCGGTGCCACGCCATTCTGCTAAACTCTCAACTCTAAAAAACCTAGTTTAGGGTTTAGGGTTTAGGACTTTGAACCCTAAACCCTAAACTCTAAACCGTAAACCCTTAACCTCGTGAAAAGCATCTTGAAGGCTCATCCAAACACGAGGCCCTGGGTGAGGGACCCCCTAAGGGCACCCATCCTTGAGCCCCGCTCCATCAACTCAAAGAAAGCCCCATATACTCCCCCTTAAGGGTTTAGGGTTTAGGGTTTATTCATATACTCCCCCTTAGGTAGATAGAATATGGGGGCTTTATAGGGGTTATATGGAGGATAATGGAAAAGAGAATGGAAACTACTTTTTAGAGTTTAGGGATTAGGGTATAGTCTTCGGCAAGTAGATAGAATATGGCTTTGGGTATATCATAATAAGGTCCCCATGTACTCCACATTCTATCTGCTCAAAGGGGGACTATAACCCTACATAGACCCGAAGAAACAAAAAACGCGATGCACTCCCTATATAACCCCCTGCAGAAGCCCTTGATAAGAACAAAACGATATAAGCGCTGTTTAACCCCTTAAATAACCACTATACGACCCTATACTCGAATGTGCTACTCAAAAATCACATTCCAAACCAGCAGCTGTGGAGATGGGCTAAGGTAGATCCCTAACCCCCAGGGTTTCGGGTTTAGGGTATAGGGTTTAGGGGTTCAAGGCTTTAAGGGCTTAGAGATTTAGGGTTCAGGGGTTGAAGGGTTTACGGGTTAAGGGGTTTTGGGTTTGGGACAAGCTTCGAAGCAATCCCTGCCATTTCGAGAAAAAATTAAGACTCCGACCCCATTCACTCCCTGCACCCTGCATTCTAATGCTTCCCTGCAGCCCCAGTTGCCGACAGTTTAGTAGTAACTAATCCTAGAATGACAATGAATAGGTCTTCCCCATCAGGCTCTAGGTACTTGCGGCTACAAGTGATAGTTTCCCAGAATTAGGGAGCCCCAATATAGACCCCTATATACCATAATCCTTATTATGGGGACCCCTGGGGCTACAAGTAGGCCAATGGCACCGCAGGCCGCGCCTGTCAACGCCAGTTGCCTGTTCTCGTGCGCCTCGGCTAGGGTTTAGGGTTTAGGGTTCTGTCTTCCATGTGCAAAGTCCCTGATGTGGAGCCACCGTCCTTAATTCCAAACCATACACCTGAGCCCTGATGAAGACAGAGGCGCTTACTTTCCAGCAAAAAAGGGCCCTGAGTGCCTTGATGAATGTACCACTACATTGTCTTTCGGCGAATGACTTTCATCAGGGTTTGTGCTCTTGGTGCTGCAGTACTGCTTAGGCTGCTTCGGGGTTAATAGCTTCGAACTTTGCATGTTTGCGCACAATCTTGCTTTCCGGGGCTGTGGGTACAATGATGTAAGTTTGTGTAGCGAAATTCGGGCTGCTGCTTGGTCCAGGGTAGGGTGTTAAGGGCTCCATACTGATATGTGGATTCTCAAAGCTGCCCCTACAGAACCTTGAATAGGGACCCCTGCCCCCACAATGCCTTTGTACTCCCCAGATATCTATCAAATGCCCCGGCCTCCTTGTAGTGAATCTTCTTCTGTAGAGCTGTAGATGATAATGTTGCTTTTGTGAAAGCATATGTGTTGGCAGGGATGGGGGTCCATGTCATCGGTGCTATTGCTATTACTTTTTAGTAGGGGTGGGGGCTTCAGTGTAGAGGGACCTTCATACTGCCCCAGGCCCTTTACGCTTGCACACCTACATCGCCATGCAAATGCACGTGCGGCAACGCCTGCAGTGCCAAAGCCTTGACAGCTGTGATTCCAACTCAGAAAGCCTCATGATATCTTGCGAAAAAGTTGCGCAAGTTTCATCATTATAAGAACCCTGGAACACTCGGGACAATGCCATACTACCTGGAGAACCCCCCCACAAGACTTCTAAAAGCTCTTGCTGCGAACGAGAACACATACGTACACATCGCGCGGGTATTCTGGACATATTCAACGCCCCTCTTCATGTTTCAGCCCTCCAATCCCATACATGGGAGAGCCCGCACTTCATGGATCCTTTTTATATGGATTCTACTATGTGAGGTGCATGAGGAAGAATTCATCAGCATGGTGTAACGCCCATTTTTTCACGCTTTTACATATCCACAGATACACCCACCAAAACATCATATGGAGTCTACCCCACACAGACAGGGGTACCTCGATTCGGCGCACTACTCACATCAGCCTCATGTACTCCCCGAGCCCACAGCAGCTTTGATCGCAATCGCCAAGCAAATCGATGTAACTTGTACTTTATGGTTCATTGGAGAGATACAAGCGGAAGCATGTATAGGTGCCCTGACTGGGGCTATAACTAGCTATGATTATAGCTATCCTATTTATACCCACAATTTTCACTACCCATGAGCCTTCGAACAGCTTCAGACTTGCTGTTTTGCGAAATCGAAAGCCCTACTTCCAGCCAAACCCTGAATCTCACAGCCAAGAATCGCACTAACGATGAGGGGGGGGAGTTGATCATCGTAATAGTCCGTATAAAGCCCCCACATATACCCTAAACACCAGTAAGAGCATGTCAGTGTCAGTGTCCGGTTATGTTGAGACGCTTAAGCCCCTGTCTAAGGCTGAGGGTTTACCTTGTCCTTATGCCCCCCCCCTCGTGGATACGGAAAGGTAAAGAATGCCACTTAAATTAAACACAGGGAAGCCGACCCCTCCAAAAATTCGGGAACGAAGATCTACAAGCCAACATGGAACCACGCAAGACATATAGGGTCCCCCCGAAGGCACTGCAGTCTAGAAAAGGCTACGTTTTAGATGCCATAAGACACCGCCAAGAAAAAATCTTACTTCCTGGCGGTTAGAAGGGAATAAGGGAATATGTGTTGGGGCTTAGGGTATTGGGTTGGAATTAAAGGAATATACTATACAGGAATCATTGTCATATTTAGAGATTGTACTCCCGTTCTCTCTACTAACCACAGTAAGCCTAGTAGGGCTCAGGGCGTAAGGCCTCAGGTTTAGGGCATTTTCATGTAGCCTGGGGATCCCACCGGCAGTAGTTCAGTTCATACCAGCTGGACCTCCACATCCTACAGTCAGTTGTGCGCAATAACGTTTTGCTGGGATCCTGAATCCGAAGCCCAAAACCGAAAACCTAGACCCCAAAACCTAAGCCCTAAAATCTAGACCCCAAACCCTAAACCCCAAACCCTAAGCCCTGAACTTAGGTCCTAAACCCTAGATCCTAATCTCGAAGCCCCAAACCCTAGACCCTAAGCGACAGAGCTTCAGGGAGAGGAGCCCAATATAGACCCTAAAAAGCTAATCGTCATTAAAGGGACCCCAAGAGTGATAGCCCTCATTTTTGGAAACGCTGCTCCTAGTTTCCGTTTCATGTTGCAGTTTCTTTTCCATTTGACTCTCCGTGGTTGAATATCCCTAAATTTTAGGTTTTAGGGCCCAAAGCCTAAAACCCAAACCGGAAACTCTAAACCCGAAAACCCTAAACCCCTAAACCCTAAGCCCTAAACCCTAAAACCCTAAACCCTAAACCTTAAACCCTACCTGGCCTCCTGTTCAGCCCTCTCTGCTTCGAGCCGGAGGGCCTCTCTGGGTCGGATGAAGCTTTTTAGCAAAGAATCGAAAGGGCTATGGGTTCAGAGCTGAGAGATGTTTAGGGTTTAGGACTCAGGGATGTTTAGGGTTTAGGGCTTAGGGATGTTTAGGGTTCAGGGCTTAGGGATGTTTAGGGTTTAGGGATGATTAGGGTCTAGGGTTAAGCGTTTAGGGACCCTATACAGGCTATGCAGGGGCTATGTAATAGGGACTACCGGGGTTCTATAGAGGTTATGAAGTTTGGGTAGACATGTCGCAACAATTAGGTCACCATAATGCAAGGTTTACAGGGGAATGACCGGAATGACATTAGTACGTAAACGTTCAGGCTCTTACGCTCCAACTGATTAGCATGAAAGCCCAAGAAGCGCAGTCTTGAAATGAGGACCGGATCAGCTTCCATGCTTGTTTTGGGAGGGTATACTGCGGGCCGTGTATCTTAGTTCGGTACCATTCTTCTTGTTTGTGAAATCCAATTCCTTCATCCTAAATACCCCTAAACACACCCATATAGATCTTGAAATGACAAGAATTTTGCTAATACTTTCATTATCCGGCTTAACTTCATTGAGAGACTCTGGGGGGCTGCCTACCCTCCCCTGTGTAAGCGCTAAACCCCTAATTTGCTTTTCTAAGGACAACGTGGTTCAGGGTTGGGGTGCAGCATTTATTTGCGGGAGTGCCTGGCAGGTAAGCTTTCGGGTCATTTAGGCGTTCTTAGCCATACATTGTACAAGTGCTGTCGCAGCACTGTCTGAATAAGAGTCATTATATGTATGTTTAAGAAAGGGAAGAAAATCGCCGGGTTGTTCATGAATATGATGTTGTGTCTATGGGTGATTGCTTGGAATCTTCTCTGGCCACATGCGATATGAGCATGTAACAGCCCCCTGTGTATGTCTTCGGTATACCTTCACTCATTCATCGCGCTGAGGCGTAAATTTTGCAGCTTTCCCATAGGTGGAGGCAGCTTGGGTCTGGGTTGCAGGTGGTCTAGATTTGGGAGCTTTGGGTTGCCAATCTTGTCTGGGGCTGCTTGGAGATGAAGTGTGGCCTTACGGCTGGCCAGTTGTAAAATGGCAATCTCAGGCGGGGACCCATCAGTGGATTAACTGCGAAAGTTCGAACCGGGTTCATAGGAGGCGGGTAACCTTAAGGAGGCCTCTTTGTTCTTCCTATCTTTGCTATCATCTTTTTTGCTCTTATCACAAGAGAAAGTTACCTTCATACAAGTCTTATATATGAGGGCATCCGCCTGACAGCAATTGTCTGATTTGACGCACTTTATAGCGTAATCATACAGTGTACCTATGGCCACGATGTAGGTAAGTAGTCCGCCTTCTACATTACACCAATGCTGATGGCCTCCAGTCTTGCCTCTTCCTGGCGCTCCCTGCGGATAGCTGGCTGCTTCAAACCGGGGAGGGTGGTCCGGCAGGATAAATAGGGTCGCTTGGAATGGGGTTACATAATGATTATACGAGCGTTATGTAGGGTTTAGGTTAAAGTTTACCAAAGCAACGGAAATCAAACTGATACCGAAACGGAAAATGAAACGGAAAATAATCTCTATACGGTTTAGGACTACATTTATGGGGTTTAGGGCTCTCTGTAGATACAACCTTCATTTGGATTTCAGAGGCTAGGGGCTATTGGGTTGCAGCCGTACCCTCCCTAGAGTTGAAATCTAAAGCGCAGTCTGAGGCCCGCTTTAGGGTTCAGGGTTTAGGGTTTAAGGGTTTAGGCTTTAGGGTTTAGGGTCTTAGTCCCTACGGGTTTAGGGTTTAGGGTTTAAGGTTTTAACGACTTAGTGTCTCCTAAGTCCTAAAGCCAGGTGAGGGAGTACAGCCGCGTCTAGGTTTGAGGAGTATCCAGACAAGTGCAACGCTCAAAAGGCAAACCTGCAAGTATAGGCTTTAGCGGGTTAGGTACTCAAACCCCCTAGTTCTGAACCGTAAATGTTACTTTCAATCAGCGGGGGAAGCCCCCCATATATCCCAACCTAGAGTCAGTCTTTTTTCTAGTTACCCCAAAAAAAGCCCTGTATTCTTTAAAAACCCCCAAACTAATTCTCAGGGGTTTCGTCTCCAGATTCCGGGCTCCAGATTTAGTTTAGGGTTTAAGGTGGCCCAGA